AAGTGCTTGGCTGGGCCTAATGAGGTTGGTGTGACTGGGTGTCTGGTACTCAGCACCTTCCATGGAGCGGATGAAAATTAAGGAGCTCTTGTTTGCAAGGCTGAGGTAACAACTCTTAAGAGCTCCCTTCATGAGGTTCATGACCTGGCTGATGGCTGTCAGCGACACGATGTGGCTGGGGCTGTAATGTCAGGACCATTCTCCTGCGATGCTCTGTGTTGCTTGTGTGTATTTATAAGCTGCTCATGTTGCTGTTGTGTCTGCATTCTGTCTGTTTGCCGTAATTAAGATTGTGATACATAGAGTTGGAGTTTTGAACATGCTGGTTTTGATTTAAACTGACAGATGGGCGTATTTTCCTGCACAGATCCTGGCTGGTTTGTGAAACATGAAGGCCTATTACTGATACTCTCTTAAAAGCAAAATAAAGGTCACAGTTTAGGTAACAAGTTTAAAAGTTTATTACAGCAGTTAAATGGGTGGTCATGGGAACAACCAGCTAAAATGGGACTTAGTCTGGTAGAGACATTTTAGAGTTGAATCACTCAAACTGTTTCAAGGCTACTTGTGTTTTCTCTTTTTAATGCATCTCATAATAGCTATTATCAGGGCACTAGCTGTGATTCAGGATGTCATTTAATTATGTTTTCTCAAAACAGTGTGAAAGTAGTAGATTGTCAGCATTTAAAAAATTGCAATGTTAATGTTAGAAATACAAAAGCATTCCTATGTCAGACTAGGCAAGCAGGCAGAGGTGACTGACTGGAAATGATAGGGATCTTGTCGCTGGCAACGGTGGAGGATATACATCTTGGTGGTAGTGAGTTAGGGTTTTGAGTGCACACATGTGGTAGGTCACAGCCACAGGGACAACTGTATTTGCAAACAGCTGGACAGGATTTATTTGAGATAAATCAAGAGATCTGGTTAGACATCGCTTCCAATTGTGAGCACATTAAACTTGAAGCTGTTAAAAATGCTGAAGTTACTGATCTTGACCTATAAAATACAAAATGATGCAGAGCCTCCGAAGAGGGAAAGGTAAAATTTATTGTGGTGTGATTTTGCAGAGATGCTGAACTCAAGCTTTGTTGAAATACCTGATTAAGGGTTAAAGCCAGGAGATTTGGGATTTATTTAATTTCAGAATTTATGATAGCCTGATCTTATGTTGCAGAGTGTTTTGCACTCTTTATTCTCTGATGAAATTACAACAAGTAGGGCAGGCTCTGTAATTTAGTAATTTATGTTGTACCTTCTTCGGATAACATTGAGTACTGGATGGATATTCCTTTATAACTGATAAAGTGTAAGTGATATTAATGGTTTTCACTAGTATTAATTTGTGCTTAGTACATTAGCCAATATTTACACAAAAAATTATCTGTGGATGTATCTCAAAGCAAAAAAAAAATCCCACAAGCCTCTAACAGAAATACTAAAAACAAGTTAATGGTGCTTCTTAATTGAGCAATTGATATCCTTAAATCAGCTCGAGTACTGCGATTTTGTAAGAGTCTTACCTGTTTACTATCAAACTACTTGAAGATAATGATGCAGAGTTGCAGAGTGCATCTTCATATAACTGAAAACAGGTGATAGCTGGGTGAAATGCAGGATGCATGCTTCTAAAAATGAAGTCTCTCAATGCTCTTACGCTGTCTATTGCTTGAATAAAGTGGCTCTGTCTAGTGATATAACTGTTCTCTGGACAAAGGTAGTTGTTTTCCAACAAGTATTTTGCATACTCTAATGTAACCTTAAAAACCTGTACTTCGGTGTGTATCCTGTTTTTTTAAAGGTGTTTGCTATCTACAGAGGCTTCCTGAGGATATCACTTGAAGTGTTTTCTGCTATCAGTAGTCAATATGGACTGCTCTACTACCACTTGTACCTTTGTATCAGTTGGTAGTTAAATTCAGTGTTAAAGCTTGTTTCTGTAGCTAATTGTGTAATTTATGCATTCCGCTACCGCATACAGTGTATTTTGTATCAGCTTTTAATATTTCAAGTATGTGCTCTGTTAAACTGAATCTAATTGCACTTAGAAGTTAACAAGAAATTTTTATTTCAGAAAACAAACCTTTTCTGAAATGGGCAAGCAAATAATTTTTAACCCTGCTTCTTCTGTAGCTGGTAATAACTGTCTTCTGTTATGTGTGATATAAAACTGTTGAATGGGAGAGAATATATATAGCCCATTTAGTGTTAGAGGAAGTGATTGCCAATATGTGGGATATACATATGTGTGTGTGTGTATATGTATATATTGCTGTCACCAACAGGGAGGGTGCCCTCTTTTGTTCAAAGCTTCTGGTCTTAAGATTCAAGCACCCAAGTTTGTACTGTCACAGTGAGAAAGGCTGGTTCCTTACAGAAAAGTTTAATGTTTTTTGTTTGCAAGTGATACTGCCTTTTTGTTTTCCTAGTGTATTTTTTATTAGTAACTTGCATTCTTATTCACACTCCCACCTTCCCCATTTTAAAGGTGTGGCTATAAGTTTGGCCTTGTAAAGCAATGTGTGTCTCAGTAGATTTAAGATTATTTTTCTCAAGTGGGTGATAAATAGGAACAAATAAAAGCTTAGTGAACCTATTGTTAGTTTAAAATAGGCTTCATGGAAGTTGGTTTCAAAGAATTTCTTGATCAGGAAGGTTTCTTGGTTCTCGAGGGAGTTTCTTACTTGGTGAAAGTCAGTCTATCCAGGACAGCAAAGCTCAGTTGTGACATGTGCTGGGAATAAACACACTCGAGTTTCAGCCGTGCTGAGCAGAATGTTTCATCCTAGGTACTTCCAAATGTATGTTCTTGATTTTGTTTGTTTTCCTGAAGGACCCTCCTGGCAGGAGTAGTGTGATCTGCGTTTTTGCAGACATCTTCAAGCAACAGGTTTCTGTCTGCGAGGACGCGTTGCTCTGGAATGGGATGAGACAGGACCTCACTAATGTAACTCAGCATGCAGCAGCCTCAAGTGCTGTGTTGTACAGACACTACAGCCCTTTTTCTGGTTTAACTTGTTCTGGTCAGAGTGAGGAAGAGAGGCAAGGGAGAGCTGTACTAGCAAGCACCTAGCTTTGCTAGGGTAAACAGTATCTGTGCTGGTGCTGCTTCTGCGGGTATACGTGAGGCTTATCGGTTTGGCCTATCTGATTTTCATACTGATAAAAGCTCTCAAAACTTTTCCTTCCATTTCATAGAAGAAAATGCTTCTGGTCAGATTTTATCAACAGCCCAGTGCTTTTTTTTTTCTTTTTTTTTTTTTGGAACTGTAATCTGTGCGGTTTTTGGGTATTCTTGCATACATTAGTTCAAAAGGTCGTTTATGATCTCTTCTGAAATGCATTTTTGTGTCTCTTGCAAGGCATATGTGAAGTGTCAGAACTGAAAGGTGAATGGTCTGAAGTGGTAAATGATTTAAATTGTCTAAACAGTGGCTGTATAGAAGCTGATGTTTTCTTGGGAAGTTAGAGGTAGAGTTAAGCATAGTTAGTTTAAAGATGCAGAACTGATAAATTATTACAGCATGTAGCTCCAGAACATGCTGTGACTTTGTGAAGGTGTTGAGAACAGTTGCTGGCTTTATAGTTGGACTACGTTCTCTGTTGCCGCTTTTTTTTTTATAATCTAATGGTTTTAGGTTTTTTTTAAACCTCAGTCATTTGGAGTGGAACAGTGTTCTGACAAAAGCAGTGTAAATAAACTGAGGTAAAGCTAATGAATGCTTGAATCGTAACAGTCTAACCTTTGCTTTAGACTGAAGTGTTTCTTTGACATATTTGCAGTCTGATTTACCACACATCTGCACTTGGTTTTTAATTGATGGGGTACACATTGTGACTAGCAAAGTCTGTTTTGGGGCTGGATGATGGTCTGGTGACTGCTGTCACTCCAATGCAATGCAGGCCTTGCTACAGCAGTATCTGTGTTTTCAGCTGAGAAACAGGTGGTTACAATTCACTTCTCAATTTATGCTTTTGGAAAATCCAGCCTGAACTTTGGCTTGCCTAGGCTTAAGATGCAACATGCTTCCAAGTCTGATCAGTCACCTCTGGTATTGTTTATTTAAAATAAGCAAATTAGGGAGGAGAGAAAAGCTGCTGGTATGCATATAGCCTTTGCCCTTTAGGATGGTTCATTGGAAGAAGCAGGTTATCTGAAAAACTATTCTTAGTATTTCTTAAAAATACTGTTAATTGGAAATAAGTAAACTGGGTGGTTGAACATGTAAAGATGGAATAACTTTGAAACAAAGCTTTGGAATTATATCATCTTTGACTGAAAGCTTTTGTTAGTTTCACAGCTCTGTTCTGTGAGAATAAACAAAAAAATTGTTATTCTTTCCTCAGGTGGTATCATGGAAAACTTGACAGAACAATTGCAGAAGAACGTCTTCGACAAGCAGGAAAACCTGGAAGTTACCTTATTCGAGAGAGTGATCGGAGACCAGGTTCATTTGTGCTTTCATTCCTTAGTAAAACAAATGTCAATCATTTTAGGTGAGAATTTAATGGTCTTTAAAATTTTGTGATCTGTTTATTTTTGGTTTTAGAACATGATAGAGTGCAAACAGAAAGAAATGATTGTATAATAGTTGAATATATATGACTCTTTATTCTTGCACAGTGCAGCTTTTTGTGTGTGTTTAATTGCTTTAATATGCTGCTTAAAATATACTTTATAGACCAGAGAGCAAAAATGCGAGGAGACTAACATCATCTGGACAGAGAAGCCTGTCTAAGGCAGTTGTGAATAGACTTAGACCAACATGTGGGTTTCATTAGTCAGTCAAAGAGATTGTTTTGGGTCTGTTCTGTAGTAGCCACTCTAGCTCACATGATGTATTTTAAGCGCTACCACATCTAGTTGCTTCCCTAATTTTGAAGGTGAGGAGGGGGGAAGCCTAAAAAAAAAAAAAAAAAAAAAAAAATTTAACAAAACCAAAACAACAAACAAACAAACCACAAATTCAAGAAGAAGCAAGGAGACTGTATGTTTAATAATACAGATTTTGCTGGAAACAGCTTTCAGTGTGTTAGTATTACTTGTTCTGAATACAAGTAGCTCTTGATCCAAAGTTGTAACTAGGATTATTTTACCATTCCCAAACTGTGTACGTTAGTAAGTTGATTTATTCCTTAGTGTAAACGAGATGCATTCTGAGAAGATCTTGAAGGGTAGTCAGCAAGTAGAGTGCTGCAGTGTAACATTTGTCTTTGCAGAATAGGAAAGCAAATGTTTCTTCTGCAGTAGAATATTTTTCAGTTGTCTTGATAGCAACAAACAAATTCTTCGAGTTCTGAAAGTGAGAATTATCCAGAATACTGACACAGGAGCCACTATGTGAACGGTTTACAAATGTAGGGAGTTTTTGGTTGAGTCTGCTGTGTGATGAGGTGTGGTTCAGAGGTCCCGATCGACCATTGACATGAGGGCGTAAATCTCTAAAGTGCAGACAGGATAACACACAAACAGTATCTCATGTTTGCATCTTGCCACCTGAGCTATCAGTTTCAGCTTCTCACCTGTACTGGTACTCTTTTAGGACCTGGTTCCTCTGTAGCACTAGGTGAAAAGTAACCTGTACTAATACTTGATTTCTAGTGCTGTTTGAGAGTCCTGGATTATTTTTAGCAACTTCTCCTTGTGAGGTAATATCACGCAATTGACTGTTGGTTGGTGCTCAAAAGTGTTTCTGGCATCGCAGGTAGAAAATAGTCCAATGATTTCTGATTCCTTGAGGAAAGGATCCTTGTGATATTTTCACATCTTAAGGAATGTTTTGTTCAGCCTGGAGAAGAGGAGGCTCCGAGGAGACCTCATTGCAGCTTTCCAGTATCTGAAGGGGGCCTACAAGGGTGCTGGGAGAGGACTTTTTACAAGAGCCTGTAGTGATTAGACAAGGGGTAATGGGTACTAATTGAAATCAGGGAGGCTTAGATTAGACATCAGGAAGAAATTCTTCACAGAGAGGGTGGTGAGGCACTGGCACAGGTTGCCCAGAGAAGCTGTGGATGCCCCATCCCTGGAAGTGTTCAAGGCCAGGCTGGATGTGGCTTTGAGCAACCTGGTCTAGTGGAAGGTGTCCCTGCCCATGGCAGGGGGCTTGGAACTAGATGATCGTTAAGGTCCCTTCCAACCCTGACCATTCTATGATTCTATGATTCTGAGATCCATAAAACACAGAGAGATAAACATCCAGAGGGAATTAATTTGTTAGGTTTTTTTGCTGTTCAGAGATTGGACATGCTTTCAGTTTAATTCTTTGACAGCCAAGTGTGTATTTTTGTTTGTTATTAGGTTGGCAAGTGTTACACTCAAGAACATTTTCCATCTCAAGAATGGCAGCCTTAAAGTAATTTCAAGCAAATACAGGGATGAATACCCTGTGTTCCACAGACTATAAGTGTTGTTGCCACTAAAGCTTGATCTTTGCCAATTGCAGCTTATCAGGAATGGGTGAAACTTCCAGTGCTAAAAAATGTCCCTCGTATTTTGTTTTGTAAAAATATTGATTTTTCACATTAAGCTTTCTTAAGTTTCTGTGCAACCAAAATCTCAACATTTTAGATTAAGGTTTTCTTAAACTCTTTAACTTCTGTTGGTGCCTCTTGAAAGTTGTGTACAGACACGCTCATGCAGCATGTGATTAATTTATAGCATATAAATCTGTTAAAATGATGTTTTTTCATGAAAGTGTTACCTTTTTTGGTGAGTAAAGTGATACAAAGTATTTTGAATGAAAATACTTATATTTTAACCTTGTCCTTCAAAACTTCCTGTGATTACAGCAGTCTTTCTCTATTTGCTAGCACAGTGTTCTGAAGAATGGTCTCATTTAAGGTTGATGAAATAGTAATCTGAAACAATAAATTTCATTTAGAACCTAATCTCTACTGACTAATTTACCAAGGAGTTTTACAGAAGATGCAGCAAAAGATCTAGCCTGCATCATTAAAGTTAGATTGTCTTCTGACTCCCCTTGCAGTGCTGTGTGCTTAAAGACTAGATTTTGTCTCTGAATATAAAACTATAGATTTCATCTCTCAAGATCATCTTTCTATACATGTTACATCCCTGTTCATGAGAAGTCATTTAGTTTGAAGAACTGACTGAGAAGGAAGAATTTGGGCAGGAATGTATCATAATACTGACCTGCTAGCAAAAAAGAATAAAAATGGAAGAAACCAATGAATAGTGTACTCATTTGGGATGAAGGATAAGTTTCTTGGTAATTGAATGTTTAGATTCCTCCACCCCACCTTTGTTTTTGAGTTGTTCACAAGCTTTCTGTAGAGGTCAAGTGTGAAGCTGAACATGAAGAAGATACAGATACATCTGTTTTTGGCACTGTGATTAATTTTGAAATATCCTTAAGATAACTTCTCTTTTCTGGCATCTGGAGAGAGAATTAACATGAGCTTTTATTTTTAATTTTTTTTTTCACAGCAAAATATTCTTAACTTGGTAGTAATTTGTTTCTCCATTTCTTACATTTTTGTAAGAATGCATTTAACACTTCCTTTAGAATCTTTCAAATACTGGTGCATCATGCAATATATATGTATCTTCAATTTTTTATGGAATAGTAATTACCTAAGATTTACTTACATGTTGTTTATAGAGAGCTTGTAATGGTGTTTTGCTGAATATAGACACTGCTTTAAAAATTAAACACTATCCTAATTTTCTTTTTCTTAAAAAAAAGAAGTGTCAAATTTTTCTTATGTCAAGCTTTTTTTGTATTGGCAGGATTATTGCCATGTGTGGAGACTATTACATTGGTGGACGTCGTTTTGCTTCGCTCTCAGACCTAATTGGTTATTACAGTCATGTGTCCTGTTTACTGAAAGGGGAAAAGCTCTTATTTCCTGTAGCACCTCCAGAGGCAAGTAGTAAACTTTTAATAATAAAATTTTTAAGTGTTGTTTACTTAATATTGATATTCTCAATCACCATTCATAATTTTCTTTGGGAAAACTATTCTCTAGCTCTACATAGGTTCAGCATATGTTGGAAGTATAAGGAGTATAAAAATTCATTCTTGCTGATACAAGGTAACGGTTAAAAAAACATGTTTCTATTTAATGAAAATGTGTAACAAGAAAGCTAGATGTCAGCTGTGCCAGTTACCTCCAGATGCTGTAACATTGTAAGTGAACAGAGATAAACGTGTGGTTTTTGGATGGTGAAGAGCACCACTGTAATGTAACCTCCTGTGACATTTTGTGTATCTAATAACATGTTCAAAATACGCATCCTGGAAGTAACCAAGGTTTCTGAAAATGGGCCTTCTTTCACATGCCCATCCTTAATACAAGTAATGAAAATGAAACAAAAAACTGCATAATGTCCCCTTGCCAACAAAACCCAAAACCTAAATAAAGGTGCTTCCAAATGTTAAACTTCTGAAAATTTCCACTCTAAGTGGAAGAAAGTTTCTCTTATTTTTAATTTATTAAGATATAAAGATGATAAACATACGTTCTGTCATGCTACAAGATGAAACAAAACAAGAACTGTCATAGCTAACTGTGAATTATGTCTTTCTAGCTCTCAGTGGTTTTGAGCTTTGAAAATTTAAAACTGGCAAGGGGGATATAAGTGACTACTAGCAGTCCTTTGCCTCAGAATATGCTGGGAAGAAGGATTCTACACTAGAAAGAGACAAAAGAATTATCTTAGTTCTCTTCTCTTAAATTGTAGCCTGTGGAAGACAGAAGGAGAGTTCGAGCAATTCTACCTTACACCAAAGTGCCAGAAACAGATGAAATAAGGTATGTTTTAATAATAGTAGCAGTTGTGAAATTCTGAAGGGTTTTTTGTAAGTACTAATGATTTAAATATGTGTTCATATGCAAATACTGTCGGGTTGCATCTTAGACTTAACACAGTTAAAGAATGTTGCCTTTCTGTTGGCTTGCTGGGAATAGTTAGGGTATTTTTTTATTATTGGTATATTTGTTTGTATTAATTGTAAGGGAAGTTACATTAGGTTTATAGACGTAAAATTAGTGATGTTATTGTTTTGAAATAAGTATTATAACACCATACATTCCTCTCCAAGAGGGTAAATTCATATATGAAAGAATTCTGTGCAGAAATGCCTCATGTGAGCGTGAAATAAATGATCTAGGCTTTTTTCCTGAACTGTCTGCAGGACTAATAGCAGTTAAATAGTTCAAGCCAAACCAATTCTGACCATTAGAAAGAGGATGTAAGCTTTTACTGCTCATAGATGTAAGACTAGGGTATTTAGTGCCATCTTTGAAATAAGAAAAAAGAAGCAATGTTAAAAGCACTTTTCCTTTATGAATGTTAAAGTATGCGTTTTCTTACCTGTACTTAGAAACTTGGTAACTACTTTTTCTAAGTTCTCTTCTCTATCCATAAATCGGAACAAGAATGATTCTTCCTTCCCTTTCCTTCCCTTCTCATCCATCCCTCTTTTTGGACAGAGCCTGTATTGAACAAATGATACGTTTAAATGTGTAGTCTGCCATAAATTTAAGATCTTAAAATTACTGAATTGCAGGTCTATCTCTCATTCTCATACTTTTCTGTTGACTGTTAATCGCTTCTTTTCTAACACGGGTACCTCAGAGATTTCTTAGGGATTGTCTGTGCTCCCTGCTTTTCTTGCATTTTCATGAGATGCTGTGTGGAAAGGAAACAAACCCAACAGTCCCATATCCAGGAGAAGAGCATGTAGTGGTTACATGGAATTGATACTGCTTTCTTGAGATGTCAGCTTGCTTTTTTCGGCTTGCTTTTTTCAGATGGAAAAATAGGAGGATTTGGAAGAGGTCTGTAGTGATTTCTGATCTGTCTAATGAGGCAGTCTTGGTTTCATAAGTTGATTTAACACACCAACTAAATTGGGAATTGGCTTGGTTTTGGGAGTATTAGCTTAAGATACAGAGAAAGGGGGATGGAAATTTATCACAGTGCTCATAGTCCAGTCCTGTCTGAATGGTTGAAGAGTGCTGTGAAGACATTTGTCTTTGAGATAATGTTTTTCTAAGCAGATGAGAAAAAGGTGGTAAGACAGGGAAAGGAATAAGATTGAGTTTAGTATGTGACTTACTGGACCTGCCAACTTAGAGGAAAAAGCATTTTATTACTTTGCTATCATAACAAAAATTGCAGAAAATTATACCTTTTGTCTTGCTTTTAGGATACAGCTAAAATGCAAAGTTCTGAAATCCATGTGGGCAAAATAGCTCTGTTCGTGGCATAGCTGGGACCAAAGTTCTCAGATTGTTCTATGTCAAATTAATATATAAATAACTGTTGAAGACTTTATGCCTTTCAGAGAATCTTGACTTAACTTTTTTGCCATAGTTAATATTTAGAAGGTTTGAAGTATTACAGGGTTAATTTCAGCCTGTATTGCATGCAGTAAGTACATGTATAGTTCTCTGTAATAGAGCTGATGGACAGTGCTCATGTTGTCTGTCACCCATTCTTAAGATTTAGGTTCATTAGCAGCTGAATTTTTGAAATGTGTGGTTTCAGTATTGGGTTTGCTGTTTTTTTGTTCTATAATTCTTGCTCTTTGCCTTGTGCTTCAGTTAATGTCTTTTCTGTTAGCCTACTTGAAGTGAGAGAAATGCCATAGAAATTTGCTGTGTAATTTTGGACTGAAGTAGTAGTTAATGAGCTCCAATACTTTGATGATGCATCAGGGTACAGGAAATAACAGACTTGATTGAGAAGTCTTGCTGTGCTACAGTAAAAGCCTTTCATATGACTTGAGTTTGGAATAATGCTTAAGGAGTAACTTACACTAACCTCCCAGAAGTGAAGCTCCCTTAGACATGCTGTTGTTTATTATTTATGCTTTTCTTGTAGCTAATTCACCAACTTCTCTGGTAACTGTCCTGTACTCTTTTTGTAGCACTTCTCCTCATATGTAAGAACACAAAGAATAGATACTTCCCAGGCTTTTATTATACAAAATGAGTTTTCAATGAAAGGAGTATGACTTTCTTACAGACTGTAAGGGTATCTCTGGTTATTGTACTTCGGTTTAGTATTTGATCCCTCTTGATAAAAGAACAATATTACTATTTTTAATATTGCTGTAGTGTTATTTTTGTTTTATACATCCTTGGCAAACTTTAAAGTTGACAGAATGGAAGTATGTATTAGATACTAAATGTAAATAAAAAGTATAAATATTCATATATAGTAGCCACTTTACTGTGAGGAAAAATACACGATGTGCGTAGGGTATCAGTTCATGCATTTTTCACAGACAGGTTTTGTCAAATATCTTGCAGAAATTGTACTCACTAATTCATTCTGTTCAATAAACTTTATTATGAATGCATATCTAATTAAAATCTTGCTGTAAACTCTTCAGTTTCCTTAAAGGAGACATGTTTATTGTCCATAATGAACTGGAAGATGGCTGGATGTGGGTTACAAACCTGCGGACAGATGAACAAGGTCTTATTGTAGAAGACCTGGTAGAAGAAGTGGTAAGTAATTTTTGTATTCAAATTTCTTAAATGAATAAGATTTATTTTTTTCTCTTTGTAAAATGGTATTGAAATAAACCAAAACTAACGATATTTAGTTACCTGTTTACTAGTTACGTACTTTTCTAAACGTAGTAATTGGATCAACTTGTTTTAAAATAGTATAATAAACCTTTAAGCCTAATTTGGTATTAAAAATGTGCTTATTCATGTGTTGTCCCAAGAGAACTACAAATGAATGATGCTGTAAATTTACTAGGCAGTTTCCTAAACTCAACTGTCCTGGTAAAGAAGCTGCTACTAATTTAATTGCATTTCATTTTTTTAGATTTTCCATGAAACATTCAGAAACTGTACTGAATTTAATTTTGTATTGTGGTGTGTCTTTTTTTTTTTTTTTAAAGGTGAAGTGTGGGTTACAAATGTATTGATGAGTTAATTATACCTAGAAGGCTTTGTGTGGGACCAGGTGACCTGCTGATAATTAATTTACTGCAGGGGAGCAGATGGTTTAATGTACTTCAGAAGGAAAAAAATTTTTTTTTTTTAACAAGTTCAGCATTGCTTTGGAGTCAAATATTATCAAATACTTTTGGTAATATTTTCCTGCACAGTACATGTTTTTTTGCTAACAGCAGTGTTACCAGCAGATGCTTCTCAGAGGTCTGCATCAGGATGTGGATGGTTAAGTTGACATTGCAGTACTAGACTGTTGGACTCTAGACCGGTGTATCAGTGGTTAAGTTAACCTTAGGAAAGCTGAGATTTTGAAGAGTTACCACCTCTAAAGAAGGACTTGAAACATGACAGAAGCAATCCTCTGAAATAACATATTTTGGCTGAATTTCCACTTAGCAAATGAAGAGGAAAACTTACTTTCATAGAACTGCAATAAGCCCTTTAGTTCGAAAATGTCTCAGACTTCTTAGTGGTTTTTTTCTACAGAAGGTCTTAACCAATGAAGTTAATTTTTTTTTTTTTAACTGAGCTGTACTGTTGTCATATACTTAATATGTTAATTTTCTCATTAGGGAAGAGAAGAAGATCCACATGAAGGCAAAATGTAAGGATTTTTGTTTTGTTATTACAAGCAATCTTAACTGTTCGTAAACTTCAGCTGTGAGATTTCCCAACTTTTGGGAAGGTGATCCAAAGAGAATTATTTTTTTAATCTCAAGACTTTTTTTCTATACTAGCTGCTGAAGATGCATGGATAGTTAACATGAGGGTCCTGTAATAGGTATGCCAATTGCTAATGGGTTTTGCAGTGTTAAAATCTTATCTAAGTCCCTGTGTGATCACTTTCAGCCAAAATATGCAGTGGAGTATTTCTTGAACCATGGTGTTTGCCTTTCTAGGTAACCTTTTTTCAGATCTGTGCAACTCTGAATGCTGGAGGGAGAGCAAAGTACCACTGGAAAAATGACAGTGTGATCGTTACAGCTTGTCTCTGTTAGCTTCATGTAATAACAAGCTTTTAAGAGAAAGCTGGAGGACTGTAAGATCTGTTCTGCCTGCTGAAATTCTTAAAACTTCTTAAAGACTCAGTACAACTTAAAATCAACCCCGTATTGATAGGTCGAGCTCTTGATAGATTGTTTTCAGTGGTAAGGATGAGTGGCAAAAGAAAGCTCTAAACAGTTTCTAGTGACTTGATTATTTTACCTGTCCTCCATTTGCTTGCCATATATGCACCTGCTGCTTTTTCTCTGTTGCCTAGTTTGAGGTCTTCAAGAGGCTGATGGCTGCAGGAGGCATTTCTTGTGATCTTAATAGGAGAAAAAATCACTGGTGTATTTGTTACATGTTTACTGTTTGCTAGTGTTCTGCTAGTCAGTTTGGCAGTAGGGGTGCCTTGAAATGTAGGATTATTTGTTCACTTGTTTGCAAAGTAGTTTGTAACAGATGGCTTGGAGCTTTGATACTGTCTGTCCACAGTTATTTGTGCCACTCAGAGGAATCTTGGGAAGACAGTGATTCATTTGAACATTCCAGTAGCCAGAAATTATCCTCTGAAGGTAGTATAGAAACTTAGAACGAGAGCTCTTTTCTGATATATATATAAAAAGGCTGTATTATGAACTTTCCTTTAAAGGACAGAATAAGCTGTTAAGTTGTAGGATGTCAAACTGTTCTGTGTCACTTGGAAATATCGACCCTAGACTGGACAGAGGCTGCTGAACTTTTAGGACAGTGCTCTGACAGCGGGCTCTGAGAAGATGCAGGTTGTGAGATCAAAGCAGTTTGTATTCAACAGTCTAACAAATCAGGCTTTTATTTCCACAGCTTCTGGCAAATTCAGTTTGAGTTTTTCTGTACAGTGTTTAACCTCCTTGTTTGAGCTTTGGATGTCATGATTCAAGTGAATTGCTGTATGAGACTGACTTCAAACAATGCCTACCAAATTACTTACTGTTAAGACAATTCATCTCTAAACACAGTTGGATTTGAATGTCAGGTCCAAGTGTTGGACTTTTTAATTGAGAATAATTGATTTATACCTGTTAATGTTATTTGTTTATGCTGTTGGTAGAACAGAATCATTAAGTAGCATAATCATTACCTATATGTATTAGGTCTTTTTAAATAAAGATCAATTCATAGGTGCCAGAGCCTTGGATGTCACCACAGCCAAAAAAGAGCTGTTAGTCTTGCTTTCTAATTTTTCTCTTCATCTTTGTTAAGATGGTTCCATGGGAAGATCTCCAAACAAGAGGCTTACAATTTGCTGATGACAGGTACTTGTGTTTCTTATTGAAATACAGTGGCACTGAAATGGGACAAAGTGATCCTGTTCACATTAAACTGTGGCAAATCTTCCTTCTACCTGTGAATGTACGTGTGCTAGTCTGACCAGCCCCTGTGGTTCTTACCTCAGTACAATACTACATTGGAATAAAACTGTTGTGGCTATGAGTATTGAGTATGTTCTCAAGTACAGTTAATTTAATACTTTTTGGCTTAAATAATTTTTCTAAATTAATATATCTGTAACTTATTTTACTTATTGATGTCTTCGTAAAAATGGTGTAGAGAATGTGCTTTTATATACCTAAAGGAAAACATATTACAAAATTTTTAAGCTCTTTTATAAAGCAAGTATTTCTGTAAGTGAAAACATCAAAATTTCTGGCCCATGTCGTTAAATAGCATACTTGAAATATGAGAACAGAAAGTGTTAAGTTTTTTTAAACCAGGTTGTCAAACGTTATTTTGTACAGTCTCGTAAAGGAGAGGCAAAGATGTGGTTAGGTTGCTAGCTACAGCTAAACCATTTTGCATTAATTTTGGCAGTTTAGTACTAGTTCATCTAGTTTTAGGTCGCTGTTGCAACTTACCTTGTAGACTTTGTATTTTTTTCAAGTGTATAATTCTTGCTAATTTACGTGGAAATAGATTTGATAAGGGCTCATACATAGTGCCAAGAAAGTAACACTATGATGGTATCTTTTCAGTTGGTCAGGTGTGCAGTTTTCTTGTGAGGCCTTCAGATAATACACCCGGGGATTATTCACTTTATTTTCGGACCAGTGAAAATATTCAGCGTTTTAAAATATGTCCAACATCAAACAATCAGTTCATGATGGGAGGCAGATACTATAATAGGTAAGTTTTAATGGTAAAATTAATTGTGCACATTTTATATTTGTGTATAGAGTTTCTTTAACTTGCTCCTGATAATTATTTATTGCTATGATTGTAAGACTGTAGTTTTCTTACTTGTATACTAACCATTTTATATATCTTGCTTCGTAGTGATTTGTAATGGAAAAAGTTCTTAAAGCTTCCAGAAGCCTAAGCATAGCTTGCTCCTTAAGTACTATCCTTCTGCAAACCAGTTTCTTCACACTATGAATTCTGGACTGTATGGATCATATGTAGATTTGTAATTAAGAGAAGGCTGTGTTGTCTTGGAAGCTGTTATTTGTATTCTCATATACATTTGAAAAGGAAAAATAAAAATTAATTTATCTGAGACATTCAGTAGGGTTTTCAAATAATAGAGATGGGTATTTACAGGAGCGGAAAAAAATAAATTGTTGGAAAAAGTCATTAAATAGTATTGTAATATGTGCATGATTCTTGGGTCAGAAGTACAGGATCCCTATTTAGAATGAGCAAACTTGGGATGCATTTATTCTGCCATTGGTACTGAAACTTAGTAATTTATACAAAAAGAAAAAGAATTAAGAAGAGATATGCTTCCCTTTTTGCGGGAGAAGCTGTTAGTACAGCTCCGTGCTTGAAAACCTTGTTTTTAGAGTTCTCGTAGATGCAAGACTTCACAGTAGTGACAACTCATCTGCCTCTTTTTTGACGGAGGCTGTCCCCTGCCTCACAAAATCAGCACTTTTCCAGACTTGCTCACCTAGAACCCAGACATTCTTCATCCTGGTAGAGAATTTCTATCCCTTCCTGCTTGGCTTCTGAGTGGGTAGAGACTCAGCAGCTGGTGTGTCTAAGACAAGGCTGAGGCCTCCGAAGAAGTTGAATGGACTTTTCCATATGACTGCAAATGGGCAGTGGTGTGAGGCTAAACAATGAGAACCTTATGAACCTATGCATATCCCACCCCCAGGCTGCTTGAGTGCCTTCTGCATTAATCAGTCTGTCCTCCAGGCATCCTCACTGAACACCAAGCTAGCTGCAGTGTCAGCCTTTCATGAAGGTAAATGCTTTTTTGCCTGTTCTCTAGTTACATGGCTTAATTAGGAGGATGGTAGGCCGGGAACTGCCCCTACTCTAGGTGATGTTAAACTAATGAGCAAATTAGTGGAACTCTTACTGGTCTCAAATTGTTTTGCAGCATTAAATAGTATGCCCTCAGAAGAGTATAGTTAAGTATACTTACTGTTACTGCTTAGTAACTACATTACTACTACATTATTACTTAACTACGTTACGTTATTATTTTGAATACAGTGCTGGATTCCCTTGAGGCCTGTACATAAATTACATTTCTCTGAAGAAGATTCTTTTCGTAGAGTTGAACAGAAAACAAGATTTTGGAGTTCAGCAGCACTAAGTTACAACAAAATGCTTTTAGAATTTTTTTTAAATATTTTGGTACCTAGTTTGCAGACATCTTCCTCTGTGTGAGAGAGAATCCATGTAGCTTCAAAAGGCTTCATTTTTGGTGCATGTTTTGGAGAAGTACTACTATACTCCTAGGCTCACATTCCCCACTTACTATGTGCTGCAAGCTGGTAAACTTCCTGGAAGGTCAAACATCTAATGAGGTATTCAATGCAAGAGAATTAAGGCCACAAAATGAAGATGGTAACTGCCAAAATTCTGTAATGTAAGATCTGCTGCAGAGTGCAATAAATAAGGAAGAGGAAACAGGGGCTTTTTAATTCTTGTATTAGTTCATTTAATGGGGACACTGTAAGAAAGCAGTCTTTAAATATTTAAAGACCAGGGCAGTTTTGTTGTATTGAATAATCAGTTGTGGCTGAAAAACAACATGGCATTGAATCCAGAAGAGAGATAAACACAAAGCAAGAATTCATGCAACATAATGATATGTAAACATTTCTCGGTGCAGAGTGTTCTTTGTGGCTTATCTAAAAATGTAGTGTTTGTCTTCAAGGTGAAAATTTCATATTTAAGAAGTGCTGCTTCTTGTTTAAATGCATCTGTTCAACAGTTTCCATTAGTTATAAGCTTTTTTATATTAAGCTGTTTCAATAAATGCTCATAAGGTATCTCCTTTGAAATTTTATAGTAGTATTAGACTAGATCTTTACAAAATCATCCTTGATAGTAGAACATTTTTAATATTCTCATACAGCTTATGTTACTGTAATTAGGGCAAAAACTAAAATGAAAGCAGTCTTCTCTTTGTATGCAGAGTGTTGATTACGGTTATATCTCAATAAATTACAGATCCAGAAGTGAAAGAATAGTAAGGAAACACAAAATGAAACGAGTTTGTTTTATTTCTCTTTGAATATCCAGACATGCGATGAGAACCACACTAACTTATATAAGCAACACTATGTCTGCTTGTATTCCAAAAGAAGTTATTCCAGGTGATCACAGGGAGATTTGTCCTGGGTACATCTCAGGAGTCTTGTAATCTGTGCTGCATAGGAAGAGTTATTTTCTCCCACTGAATTGTTCCTTTGGCATGTGTTCCCACCACCCCGTGTGTAAATTGCTTGAAATTTCTGTTGATGAGTATGGCTGTGATTGCAGCCTGTCATACAGAGATCTGCTTTCATTATTTCGTTCGCTTCTGTCAGCCCTGCAGAACAGCCAACCTGTAGTCTTAGCTGTCCACTTGAAGGTGTCAGTATACAACACCTATAATGCATGCATGTTGTGGGAATGATGACTGTATAACGAAGAAGTATTTTCCCATGGACTTCAGAAAAGCATTTAACTTCTGTCAACCTTTCTGTTTATTCCATGGGTAAGAAATTACTTCTGTATTCATCCTTCTCTTGTTTCTAGGAAAAATTGGCGAAGCTGTTTCTTGGTGGTCATACCGAGTCTGCCTGGGGCGGAGTTAATTTTACGGCAGTCAGTATGGTGCCATGATTCCGATTTACTGTGGCCAAAACAGTGTTGGTAACACAACAGTGTTTTAGCTCTTGCTGAGCAGTGCTTGTGTGGTGTTGTGGCTTTCTCTGTTTTCTAGAGATCCAAACTGACGAAAGAGATATGCTCAGCAATAAAACAACAGAGGGGATGTTTCATCTTCCAGGGTGGATGTTGCTCAGACTGCCTGAGCATCAGTCTGCTTGTGAGCAGGGGGCAATTGTTTTGTATCACTGCTCCCTCCCTTCCCTTCACTTATTAAACTGTTTTTATCATGACCCAAATATGAGTTTTGTCACATTGCGTTTCCTGTTTTCTCCTCTGTCCTGAGGGCAGGGAACAAGCAAGCACTGCAGTGTTTAGCTGCTGGCTGGGGTCACCCCTTCACAGGCCTTTTAACATCCCCCTCTTCCTCCTTTTCTTGACATGTAATGCTGGTTGCGACATTAGAGACCCCACCTGGAGTACTGCATCCAGCTGTGGAACTCTCAGCATCAGATGGATATAGACCAGTTGGGGAGAGTCTAGAAGAGGCCACGAAGATGCTCATAGGGCTGGAGCACCTCTGCTATGGGGACAGGCTGAGAGAGTTAGGCTTGTTCAGCCTGGAGAAGAGAAGGCTCCGGGGAGACCTTGTAGCACCTTCCAGTGCCTGAAGGGGCTACAAGGAAGCTGGGGGGGACTTTTTACAAGGGCCTGTAGTGACAGGACAAGGGGTAATGGGTTTAAATTGAAAGTGGGGAGGTTTAGATTAGATACCAGGAAGAAGTTATTCCCGGAGAAGGTGGTGAGGCGCTGGAACCGGTTGCCCAGAGAAGCTGTGGATGCCCCATCCCTGGAAGTGTTCAAGGCCAGGCTGGATGAGGCTTTGGGCAGCCTGGTCTAGTGCAAGGTGTCCCTGCCCATGGCAGGGGGGTTGGAACTAGATGGTCTTTAAGGTCGCTTCTAACCCAAACCATTCTGTGATTCTGTGATTATGTGGCAGGGAATATCCTCTTGTTTGGTTCAGGCCGGCTGTCACACTGTGTCCTCTACTACCTTCTTGCCCACCCTGTCCTACTTATGGGGTGGGTGCAGGGGAGCAGAATGCGGAGAAGGAAAGCCTCAACACTGTGAGTGTGGCTCGGCAATAGCCATAACACTGGTGTGCTATCAGCCGGTGTTTGAAGGAAATTTTATCAGTCATGATTTTATTAACTGTATCATGAAATCTCAGTTTGAAGTTGTAAAATTACTGGTGTATGACATTCACTATGAGGGTGACTGGTCACTGGAACAAGTTATCTAGGAAAGTAAGGGGTCTTCACCCTGGGAGATGCTCATCGTGTGACTGAACAAGGGCCAGAGCAACCTGCCACCACTGACTTTGAGCTGAGGTCTTGGGCTAGGGTGTCTCCAGAAGTGCATTCGGTGCTCAGCTGTTCTGTGAATAACTTTCACAGGTGTTCCGCAGTGGTTTTATGTAAGATAGCATATATTAATCTTTCAGTTCTGGTTTTAGAACATCTTGTAGGTAAAGCATACTGGGCAGGACATTTCTCCTTTTCTTCTATCTGCCTTCTTGCAAAAATTCAACCTACATAACAGCATTCAAAAAAACCTGTAAAATTAGGGTGGCTTCTTTGCCTCTAGTGATTCTGTGTGAAAGGAAAAGGTAAGAAACGTTGGCCCAATAGTTTATAGAGTAAACCAGCTTTGAAGTTATCTTGAATTTGAGAGAGAGCATGATTTGAAAACACGATTGGAAGATAATTTTCTTTGAACTGTTAGATTAAACTGTATTGTGATACGCTGAACAGTATGGATTTAAAATTAATTCTTTGTCTTTATAATTTAGCACTCCATAGAATGGTGTTGCTTCTGGATTCTTTGTTATATGAAATGTCAGATGTTGGAATAACTCTCAACATGCTTTGTTAACAAGATGACACTGCTCCTGGTGGGGAGATGCTTTTAAAATTGTTCAAGAAGCTGAGACCTGGGTAACCTAACAAGCCATATGCTGAGCATTTTAAAATTAACAAAGTAACTGTAATGTAGTATTGAGATCCATTTTTGTTTCTGTATATCAAACCAGGTTTAATGTTTTGTAGTTTTGGTTTGGTTTTATTTTTTTTTTAACCATTCTTATTTATACATTACGTGATTCATTTGTTGTAAGCAGGGATTTTGTTGCTGTCTCCTAGATAAGTATTGTCAGTCCGATTTCATGCTGGCTATTTTACATGTTGATAATTCTAATCTAACATTGCATTCAGTAGTGTACTTGTCTGGAGATACGTGCTATCTTTATGTTTACAGTTTTCTGGGGGCATTTGAGCTGTCGTAATGGTAAGGCAATGTAAAAGTGACCATCCGAACTGAGTTCTCAGATCACTTTTGGGAGGAGAAGGCTGCAGAGCCAAGCCCTTACTCTCTCCATCAAGGCATAAAGTCCTAGTCTGTTTGTTACTTTAACTACCAAAGGAGTTGTCAAATACAACTGAGTTTATTCTTTAGCCCATTTTATGAAATTGGAAGAAATTAGGCACTTGATTCTTACATTGAAGAGCTCCTGCTAGCATTTTTAACCACAGAAGGAGAGGAGGCATTGACAGTCAAGGTATTCTTACTCGATGAGTGCGAAAAATTGTATAATGCTGGTTTGCTTGTTACGAGGTCTTGGTATTAGCTATTCAACATGCAAATACAATGACTGAGTTACTATTTTCTGTAGTGTGGCAGAGTTAAAATTTTTATGCAGAGAAAGGGCATACGCAGATTGCATCCCGGTAAAAATTGAGCTAAATACTTGATTTCAGTAATACCAAAAGAGAAATTCATGTAATGCTACGTACTTGAAAAACAAAAATATTTGTGGGAAGATTTATTGTTTTATCAAGCATGCACTGGATCATAGCCTTAGAATGACAGAAAAGTGAACAAAGATGTCTTGCTATAGCTTTATTTAAATGTTTTTGGGATTGTTTTTACAGTATCCAATATTTTTCCTGTCTTGGATGGGAATGTATCCAGTTGTAACATGTCAAGGATTTCATTGCAGCATGCTTTGATTATCTTTGCACACACAAGTACCTGTGCATGAAGTGAGAAGACACACTCAGTTTATTTTTGGTTTTTACTTTATTATTTAGTTCTTTTTTAGGTTGATATTTTGTGTACGAATGATTGATTTCTATTGATGTTCATATTGCTGTTCTTTATTACAATATAAATTTCATTGGCTGCAAAAACAAGTTAGAGCAACTCAAATGCCTGGAATTGCAGCTTGTATCTGGTCACTACTTCTCTCCTGAGCTTTCCAAATACAATTGCTATGTGAATCCAGTGACTAGAATAAATGCTTCCCTGAAGATGAGTGCCACTGATTGAGTGTTTTGATTTAACAGGGTAGCTCAGTGACTTCCAATTATAATCTGTGTAAGCTTTGCTACAAACCTTTTCTGTTTTCTGTTCCTGTTCTTCTAGAAATAAATTGTTCTGCACTTGTGGTAGCTCCCATTCCCCTTCCTTAGTTACTCTAGGACTTTGAAAATTATTACCAATGAAATAGCAATTTTCAGCCTGGTTGGAGAGCTGGTAATGCACTTGTGTTACTTGAATGTGGAAGAAGCAGTGTCCTCATTTGGCATTTTAAGCGACTAATTAAAATACTTTGCAGAGTTTAGAATTAATACGTTCTGAATGCAGTTTTGTGAACTTTCTTGACTTCAGTGTATTAGTAAATTCTCATTGCTACAAATGAGATTATGATGTAAAGCTTTGTGAGAAAGTTTTCTGTGATTGTATGGAAAAGCAAATTCCCAAACAGAGTAAAAACTAACCTGTTTATTAACATTTGAATCCTCTTTTTTTCTTATTGGAACAGTATTGCTGACATCATTGAGCACTATAGAAAAGAACAGATTGTTGAAGGATATTACCTTAAAGATCCCGTTCCAATGCAGGTAGGATTTCATCTCCGAGGGTTTGTTTTTGAAGACACTGACTTAGTCCTCATCACATCAATTTATGAACTGAATTACAGCAGAGACACCAAACAGCATCATACGCAGTTTTAACATTTTCAGGTTGACTGTTTCTTTTATTTTATCCTCAAATGCATTCACTTGCTAAGGTTGGCTTGTAGTCAACAGAAAATATGGTAAGTTCTCTCCATCCTCTGAGGTGTTCATCCTGTGCTATGTACCCCTACCTCAGCTCCCTGGCTCAGCCACACTGTGTCTTAGCCCCACGTTAGGGGAAACCAGGCCGCCCTCTTGTCTTCTATGTCTGGCATTTTTCTTCTGCCAGAGTAAATCTGTATGCACAGATAAGCTTCAGGGATGATGGCAGGGCTTGGTCTGTACTGCTCTTGCCCCATAGCGGGAGTTCATCCTAAGAGCTCACCAGTAATAAGCACACCGTATCATCTATAAGCTTATAGGTCGTTATAAAGTATACATGTATACTTTATAAAGGTCCTCTCCCAGCATCTTGCCCAACTGAGCCACTTTGCTGAGGAGGGGAGCCTAGTGGGAAATGGGAAAGTCCTGAGGTTTTGCAAGCACTGATCAGCAAAAACCAAAACACTGGTGCTTTTTCACACTGTTTTAGTTACAAAACCAAAACACAGCACCATCAGGGCCGCTGTGATAAAAGTTAATGCCGTCCCTGCCAGAGGCA